GACCTGTGTCCAATCCCTCCTGTAGGAACGAGAGAAGAGAAGCTACTGAAGGTGACAACGGATCCACACTCTTGCGTCTACACTATCTCATGAATGCCTTCCATTGGGTGTTATATATGCAGATGGTGGACTGACGTCTAGATGCCAATATAGTGTCCAAGACCTGAGGGAAATATCCTTGTCTTGCTAGATTGCGCCGCTCAATCTCCATGTAGTCAAACATAACCAGGCTGGATCTGGATGCCACACTGGACCCTGAGACAATATATCTGGAGACACTGGTAACGTCAGTGGTGGAAGGATTGACATCTCCTGCAGAGCTGAGAACCACGGCCGACAGCCCCATCCCGGAGCCACCAGGATGACTTCTGCCTTGAGTTCCCTGACTCTGCGGATGGTTCTGGAGATCAGAACAAACGGCGGGAACGCATACATCAAGCCACGTCGTCGTGAGCGCATCTGTCACCTCCGCCTCCTGGTGGAAATATCTGGAGAAGAACCTTGGAATCTTGTGATTCTCTGGAGATGCGAACAAATCCACCAGTGGATGTCCGAAGTGGTGTACCAGTGCGTTGAAGAGTCTTGGGTGAAACGCGAACTCCCCCTCCTAAATGGTCTCTCTGCCGAGCCAATCCGCTTGTACATTCTCGATCCCTCTTATGTGCTCTGCCCTCAGGGAAGCAACGTTCCTCTCTGCCCAGGAAAGAATCTTCATTGCCTCCTTGTGCAGCTGTGAGGATCGGGACCTGCCCTACTTGTTGATGTGAGCCTTGGCGGACATGTTGTCTGTCCTCACCAAAATGTGTTGATTGTGCAGATGGGAGGAGAAGTGAATCAGGGAGTGGTGGATTGCTCTGAGCTCCAAGAGGTTGATAGGGAGCGTCTTCTCGGTTGGGAGCCAAGTCCCCTGGACTGGAGAGCCCTCTAGCGTTGCCCCCCAACCCAGTAGACTGGCATCTGTGAATAGTTCCCTGGTATGACTGACGTAGAAGATCTTGCCGGTCAGTAGGTTATCCATGTCTGTCCACCACCGAAGGCTCTTGTTGACCTTGAGGGGTACCTGAAGGTTGATGGCCTTTTTCTCTATGATGAAGAGTTGGTAAGGGTGGAGGAACACCTGCAGTGGCCTGGCGTGCATACGGGCCCATTGCAACATGTCGATACTGGCAATCATCAGACCCAGAAGTCTGGCCAACTCCATGAGATGTGAGACCCTGCTGCAGTAAACCCTCGAGGCAAAGTACTTGATCTTCTTGGCTTTGGCCAGTGGAAGAAAAAGAGCAGTGCGAGCAGTATCTATCCCAACGCTGAGATGTTCGACACGTTGCACCGGTATCAGGGAACTCTTCTCGAAGTTGACCATAAATCCGTGACTTGCAAACACTGTAACGTCCTCTCAGTGTTCCTGACAGATTCGTCTGACTGCTGGCCGGACCAGCAGGTCGTCTAAATAGGGATGGACGTGGATCCCTTGACTCCTGAGATGTACCACAGGATTGATGATTAACTTTGAAAACAGCCTGGGTGCTGTGGAAAGGCCAAAAGGGAGTGCCCTGTACTGGAAATGGAGATTGTAAACCCAAAAACGAAGGAACCGTTTGTGAGCCTGATGAATGGGCACATGAAGGTATGCCTCCGTAAGGTCGATGGAGGTCAGATATTCATTTGGAGATATAGCGTCCGCTACTGCCTTCAGAGTCTCCATACGAAAGTGTCATAGTTGGATGAAATTGTTCAAGAACTTGAGATCGAAAATCACTCTCCATTCTTTTTGGGGACCATGAATAATATGGAGTAGACACCCTGTCCTCTCTCCCCAGGGGGAACTGGTTCGATTGCCTTGATGTCTAGCAGATTTTGCACAGCCTTGATGATAATGGATCTCTTGTTCTCGGACTTGCTTGCGTAGGATCTCAGGAAACTCTCTGGTGGCTGATGCAGAAACTCTATTGAATATCCGTGGACACAACCTCCACTGCCCAGGCATCCGCCTGTGCCTCTGACCAAGTCTTTGCAAAATGGAGTAGCTGTGCCCCGACCGGAAAAGAAGGATAGTCATGCCTGCTTGGGCTTGGCGTCTCTATCTCCTCTGTCATTCTTGTTGAAGGGAAATCTGTGAAACCAGGATGGGAAGGAACCACGCTTGCCAGATTGCTTGGATGCCTCCCAGGGTGCCTTCTTGGTGTCGTGACGAAATCTTGGCAAGGAGTGATGGGAACAAAAGGACTGATGGTTTCGCCTGTCAGAGCGTCTGAGAGACCTGGGCATGGCCTTTTTCTTATCCCTGGTCTCCACCAGGATTTCATCAAGGGCCTCACCAAACAAATGATCTCCCTGGAATGGGTAAGCCATCACAATTGACTTGGATAAGGCATCGGCCTGCCACGCCCATAGCCAAAGAAGTCTCCTAGCTACTGCCGTGGACGCTGTGGCTTTGGATGCAAAGGAAATAATGTCCAGAGTGGCATCTGCTGCAAAGGAGTTAGCCTTGAGGATGCGATTGTTCTCTGGAATGAGTTGGATCAGCTTCCTCACCCAGACTATAGCAGCCCTAGAAGCGATGGATGCTGTGGATGCTGCTCTCACCATCATGGTGACCACCTCATGGATCCTTCTGAGCGTTGCCTCCACCTTTTTGTCAGTAGAATCCCTGATGTTGCCCGAACCGTCTTCAGACAGAAGACCAGACGATTGGATCGCTGCCACAGGACCATCAACAGGCAACATCTGCAATAACTCAGCGTAATTAGGCAGTACATGCAAATTTTTGGCAAATGCTGGGAATTGCCTATTAACCATGGGTTTGTCCCACCCTGATCTAAGCTGATGTTCGAAATACTCAGGGAACGGGAAAATCTTCCCTGTATACTCCTCTGGAGGAAAAAAAATCAAAATTGCCTTCAGATTTGGACTTAAATTTTGCTCTGGCCACCTTCTGATACTCTGAAGGTGGCAAATCACGCAACTCAAGTGCCTTAATGGCCTTAGTCAGAAAGTACTGATAATCCTCAGCCTTAAAAAAGCGACTGGACTGTTCTGGAAGCTTCAATTCCTCTTCCTCCTCCTTGGATAAAAACTCACCCCCCTCCCTGTCCTCTAGGGAAGACACAGTGGATTCCACTTCCTCCCTCCAAGTTTCCTCAACTGGTTTTCTGGGAAGGGGGGGGGGCTTTTTTGCTGCCTTAGTTGGCCAGCCGGAAGGAGAAGAACCTGGAGGAGAGGGCTCCTGAGAAGCAGGGACCCTGGGTCGAAGCTGGGCCATCTCTTTCTGAATAGTTTGCCGGATGGTGGCCATAAGGTCAGAGGATTGGATGGAAATTCCTTGATCAGGGGACTTACCCCTCTGTGAGCCGGTCGCAGAGTCTTCCTGCTGCTGTAAAGGGGTTGGGGAGAGGCATAGCCGCCCACCATCTGCCCCCGCGGCTCCTGTAGAGGCTCCCTGGAGGGTACCAAGGCTCGAAGCCAGACCCTCAAAATGGCCACCGTCGGCCCGCAAGCGCACCAAAGAAATGGTGGACTTGTGCTCTTCAAACTGCCGGTGGCGCTTCTGGGCGTGCTGCGCCGCCGGGCCAGCCACAGTAGTTGGGGCGCACAATCTAGCCGCGAAGGCAGATTGGCCCTGGTATCACTGCGCACCAATGCGGCAAGTGCATGTCCCTTGTCGCCCGAGGAAAACTCCTCGGGAAGTTCCTTTACCGCCATCGCGGCTGCCGCAGCTCCTCTCTTCAGGTCTAAGACCCCTTGCAACTTTGCTCCAAACTGGAGCAGAAAATAAAGGAGAGGAGCAGAGGGAAGAAAAAAGGAAAGAAATAGAAAGAAGGGCAAGGTAGACCAGCAAAAGGAAGAAAAAAGGGAAAACGAAAGAGACTACAGCTAAAGCCTAACAAGGATTGCTGCTGCTCCCTACTGAGGCAGGAACAGAACTGAGGATGGGCTATTCTGGAGGCTCCAACAGGAAGGGGAAAAAACTATTTCCTGCCTCCTGAAAGGCACGGTGGGAATAACCCATGGAGATGTCCTCTACCTCAGAGGGAAAACGGCTCCCCCTCCAAGGCTCTTTCATGACTGTTATACTATAAAGCACGTTATGCTTCTGACCCATACCTTTGCCTCAGTTTCCCTTCAGAATGAAGATTTAATGTCCCCAGTGGAAGGCATGAAGGTTGCCCTTCTTGGTGACCCTGGACCTCATACTGTGGAATACCTGAGGCAATCAGTGGTCATCTTTCTTTCAGGATTGGGCACATTTGCACTGCTGCTGTTATAGGTGTTGGGATTGTCATTGGGTCTAGGGATAGCTATTTGCTGATATAGCTAACTATTGGGTATAGGAGTGTCACCAGTTTATAGAATACATATTTGGTGCATGTTGAGAAGTAACTCAGCTTAATAAATTGTTGAGCATGTGAGAGGGTGGACACATATTTGTAACCCTGTGAGGAGGGGAAGCCATTTTGGGGTGGGATTTAGAGCAGAGAAATGGTGGGTAAGAGTAGGGTTGAGTATTCCCTCTGTCCTGCTCAATCTTCATTCCAAATTTCCTTTTCCCAAAGTGACTTTAAAAATACAGCAACTGCTACTCTGGGGTTTTGTTATATGGGTTATTATATGATGTGTGGTTAGCCCTCTGTAGTGTGATAACAGAGACTTAGACAAGTAAGTTTGTATTTTAATAAGATTATTGTAAATGGAACTGCTGTTCAGAACATTCATAGTGTTTTCCTTTTACTTCCCAGGTCTCCAGAGCATACTAAGTGTATTATTACGTTCACGCAAGCCTTTTTTATGAAGACACAAAACACCCCACTCCTCAAAGTGGAATGACTGTCTCAAAAGAATTTATTTCTGTAGCGCAAGGGGATCGGCCGAAAAGTTAAGTAACTTCTCAAGCTTCAGTTTTGCACGCTCAATACCTCTCAGGGATTACTGTTCTTGGCTTTATTTTAAATGGTTTTTGATCGGAAAATAAATGGTTTTCGATCGGAAGAAAGGTGCTGAAAATGGGGGATCAGCAGATGTACAAAGCGAACCATGTCATTAACAACAGTGAAAGTTTATATTACCAGCAGCAGCACCTAAATTCTCTTGCACCCTTAAACCACAGCTATGGAGCGTCAGCCATGGATGCATCTCAGGATTCTCCCCTCTCTCCCTCATTTCCTCATGATGCAAGAGAAAACATAGCTTTGAATGTTGGGTCCAAAACACTTGGGTTGATGGATCCCCCAAGGCAAACGTGTTGGGCCCAGTTGGGTTCTGGCAACCACATCCCAGTAAGGACCAATCAGAATGCGATGTGGAGCTCAGCAGGGCAAGGGGAGCCCGCCGATGGGTATGACCATCTGTGCCCCCAGGCCAATGAGGTCAGGTCGCAGAAAATCACCAGTGGAGTTTTGCATAAATTAGATTCCTTCACCCAAGTCTTTGCTAATCAGAACTTGAGAATCCAAGTCAACAACGTGTCCCAGGTCGTACAGGCTCAGCCGTCGGGGATGGAGAACGCCAGTGACAGTGCGCTTCGACAGCTGTTGTCTCAGAAGCCTGCTGCTGAGCAGCAGCCTGTGCAGCGATATCAGCAGGTGCCACAGCAAGTCCACCCGGGTTTTGCAAGTGCACAACAGAAACAGCAAATGCACCTCATGCAGCACCAACAACCACTGTATTACGACGACCAGCATCACTTAGCTCACATGCCAATGCACCCTGCGGTGCACCAAGGACAGGCCCACTTGCCACAGCTGCACTCTCAGCAGCTGCTACCGCAGCTGCAGCAGGATCAATACTATCTGCCGCAACAGGCCCACCAAGGGCAGCACAGGCTTCTGATACATGAAATTCAGCAGCAGCAGCAGCAGCAACAGCGACAGTGCCCAGTGCAAACGACTCAGTATTATCCAATACAGTCTATGATGCAACAGTTACAGCAACAACAGCAGCAGCAGCAGATGCAAATGCAACTTCCCCCCTATCACAGAGATCCTGAACCAAAGACTCTGCACGAGGCTCACCAGTTCTCCCAAGACCGGGGTTCTTCTGTGCAGCTTATACAGCTGGGAACAGTACCTCAGTACTTCTATCAAGAACAGCAACAGTCATTCAGGCACTTGTATCCACAAAGTTTATTACCGCAGCAGCAGCAGCAGCAGCAGCAGACTGCAGAAGACACCAGCCAGCAGAATCATTATCAGAGTGAAAACAAGTCTCGGGCCTTGATGGACTCGCATCTTGGGCTCCCCGGGGCAGAGAGGACAGAGAGTCCAGCAGAGCAGGACATGAATTCTATTGGTGTCTCTCAGCAATCACACGTACCTCCAGTGAGCACCCACATGAACAGCAAAAGAACCCAGCAGTTGTCCCCCAATGCAGCATGGACTCAGGTATGTAAAAATTTGGTGTGCCAAACCATTTTCTAGCTGATAGCTGGTTCACATCTATAGGAGAGTGAGATGGTAAGATGGGCTGTACCATTTGTCTGCAGCTGGAGCATTATAAGAGTTTACATTTGGGGGGGGGGGAGACCCACCATGTTTAAAAATTCCTTGCAAATAGAGAACCAGCTTGCTAAGCAAAAGTACATGCTAGTTCCTATCGTTCTGCTGTGCTAGTTTTCTATATTCATGGACAGTGTGCGCGTGCGTGTGTGTGAAGAAATATTCAAGAGTGCATCACCTGTCATCTGAAGCAGTGCAGTCTGTTCTGCCACTTCAGGGCTCTTATCACGTCATTACCATCTCATTCTCTTGCATGTCTGGACAAGGGATAAGTTTAGGAGTAAAGTAGAAACTGAACTGCTGTCTGCCTCCTCCTCCTGAAGTGTAACCCTTTCAGGCCAATGAATGAAGGCAATGCTTCCTCATAAACGTCATCAGTTTTGTGACTTGAGTTGACTACCCAGCAGTTTGTAGGGTGTACATCTGCTACCATCCAAATGAAAATAGGTAACGTTAGTTGCCTGCAGTTATGACTGGTTGAGCATGCATGGAAGGAGGGCCTGTACTGAAAGACTCTATGGGGCAGTTGCAATGTGGCTTTAATGTACTATGCATGGGGAGACACATTGTCACCCTGTCTCTTTCTCAACGTATTGACCCCAAGCATAACGCTTTAGTTTTTCTCACATGAGTGAATGGCAGCTATTCATGCATATGGGAGAAGGTTAAAGTTTGGTGTAGTGGTTAAGTGTGCGGACTCTAATCTGGGAGAACCAGGTTTGATTCCCCACTCCTCCACTTGCACCTGCTGATGTGACCTTGGGTCAGTCACAAGCTCTGGCACAGCTGTCCTTGAAAAAGAGCAGTTTCTGTCAAGAGTTCTCTCTCAGCCCCGCCTACCTCAGAGGGTGTCTGTTGTGGGGAGGGGAAGGGAAAGGAGTTTGTAAGCCGCTCTGAGACTCCTTTGGGTAGTGAAGGGCGGGGTATAAATCCAATCTCTTCTCTCTTCTTCTTCTTCTTAAAGATGTACACTCAGGGATGATACTGGGGTAGAGCAAAACGTACTCCATGTCGGTAAACCAGAGTTCAGGGTGAGAGAAAAGTTTTGCTGTGTCCCAGACAGAAGTCCATTTACTTTGTCCCATTGAATTGAATGGCAATGAGTAGGAGCTAATCTGTTGCATATGTGTATTGTCCCATCCTTTCATCTGAGTATCTGTATTCTGGGGTTTTTAGTATGATGTGTGAATGTGTGAGAGCGAGTGATCTGAACTATTGTGTAGATAGATAATCCTTCAACAAGCTGACATACCAGTGTTTCTCCTTTCTCTCTGTAACAGCAGATCCAGCTATCCGAGAGCACACTCGAATCAGTGTCACCTGAACAAAGGTATATTTATGGTGAACTACAGATGTGTTCTAATTAATTCTTTTAAAGAAATAATCCAACAAGGGTGGCGTCTCTGCAGTTCAACATAGGGATCTGCCTATGCACAGGCCAAACAGCTGAAACTTCTAGAACTTTGGTGTTCCATCTACATCTGCTGTCTCTGATAGATTTAGTGGCCGTTGCCCCAGTGGAACTGTGAAGCAAGTGTTTCATCTGCTCTGTCCCTTTTTTGCCATCCTAAAGTGAAGCTTTTGGGTTAGAACATTTCAGCCTTTTGTCTTCAGTATTTTGCCACCACACTTCTCTCTCTTGGTTGTTTCACTTTGTCTAACCTTTCCATCAACAGGAGTTTCTTGCCACAGTATTATTAGAATTACAGATGAGTGGATTTATTTTATTTATATCATTATTCAGTTTATTTCCTTGTTTCTTGCCAAGATTCAAGGCTTGCACAATTTAAAAACAATGCAAAAACAACAACACAATAACAGTATAACACTGCATAAGCAATGCACAGACTGGATTACCAAAATTAAAGAACAGTGCAGCAAAAACAAGTCATACAGTATGTGTAAAGGTAAGAGAAAAAGACAGTGACAATGTATGCAGCACTTTTGAATGAAATTTGGAAATCCAGGCTAATGCAGAGCACCAGTGTGTTGGTGCTATTCTAGGAATGAGATCAAGTAATTTAGAATCTCACCATCCAAGAAGAAAATTTCATGGGGAGAATATTGTAAGAATTCCTACCTCTATTTGTCTTGCTGTTGGTTCAGTGTGGCTGCACAAGAAGTCTGCCATTCGTAGGGACAACACTTGTGGATCCATAGATTACAGGACCACAACCAGAATGACAAAGTTGATTAACTGCAAGACAGAATGACAAGGTTAATTAATTGAGCCTTGTGGAAAAACAGGCAGTTATTGCTGTTACTTCTCGCTAATTAGAGTCGATATAGTGATTATAGTATGTATTAATTTGGGCTTATTATTTATACTTTGTTTTTTACTCAGTTGATGTCCTTGGGATGAATTATCAGAATTCTCTTGCCTCTCAAGTTGACAGTAAAGCTAGGCACTGGCCATCATTTGGTGGAAAGTAGACTCCTTAGTAGTGCTAGTGGACCAAGGACAGATCAAAGAAACAATGATGGGGTGGTATTTCTAGAACCCAGTTATCCCATTGGCTTTATTCCAGCAGGAAACTAGGAGGCTTATCCTCTCAACGTAGTATCTGGTGAGTTCCCATGTTCTAAACGAGGAGGTGTTAGGCACTGTTCACAGTTTTCTTCTTCTAGGTAGCTAAGGGTGTTGTGTTCAGCCGGACTTGCTAGACCTCTGGATGTGTCAGCTATTCTTTCTGGACGGCCTATCCACTTACTTATTAAACCTTCCTGCCAGCCACAGCATGGAGTTTCATGACACAGACAGTTCCATTGTAGATACAGGACATGGATTTTAAGAAGAGTCACTGCAGGATGCTTCACAGTTTGATAATTGTAAGACCTTTTCTGTGGCAAGGCAGAATTGCTGCTGTCAACAGAAGAGGTTTTACCACGTCTTCACAGTGAACCATTGTTATCTGAAGAACGACATGCTGGATGACCTCTGCCACTTTTATTTTCAGTCCAGTTACCTTTATTGGCATGTAAACCACTTTTATTTGTCCACTGGCACGTATCTGATTCAGATCCTTTCAGCAGAAATCCTTCAGATAAACTCTTGACCACGGTGTCAGTGGTCTTGGTGCTTCTTCAGTAGTGAACAGATGGCATGTACTTCCCAGGAAAGGCCTCCTTCTACTGTTTCTCTTGAACAATAATGGGCACAGTTGGGTCATTTCCTTCAGGAGCGCACAGGAGCAGAGCTCCGGCAGTAAGGAGCCCAGGGGGCGGGGACATGCAACAAACCCCACCCCCTGCTCCCAGCAGCCCTCAGTTGGGCCATGAGTAGCAAGAAGCAGCCAGGTAAGTTGTAGAGCTGCCCCCAGCCCACCTTCAGGTACAAGCTCTTCCTCCTCTGTGAGGGCAGATCTGCGCATCCCCCCCCCCAATAGCTAGCAATCCAGAACAGTCCAGTGGAGCCTGAGTGGTGGGTGTTGCCTTCTGACACACTTCCAGTGATGTCAGGGGGTGTGGCATATGCAAATAAGTTATGCTAATGAGCTCCTGCACCTCTTTTTCTACGAAATTACCCCTGGGCACAGCACACACATCACTCAGGGGATCAGGAATGCATTGTGACTGCAGAATGACCAACCACTGAAGAGCCAGTAAGCCACCTTCCCATGTCACCCTCAATTAATGAGCAATTTGGAGTCTCAAGCATTTTCATCACAGTGACAAAGTTCAGTAATCCAGGTTAAGAAAGAACATATGACATGAAAGCTTTACACGGTGTATTGTTCATGACGTTTTCCCACTGGCCATTCATATTGTAAGACAAAGCAATAACTTGGCAGACATTCTAAGCAGAGTAAGGACATTACACATGCATAGTTCTTAACAGTGCGATCCTAAGTACAGTTACACCGCTTCCCCCCATTGACTTCAGTAGACTTAGATGTATGTAGCTGCTTAAGACTTCATAGTAAATGACTTTATAGTCCTGTAACTCTTTACAAAACCTGAGAGAAATCTTCTTTGCTAGTATTTTGCTGGCGGGGAGTAGGATGGGCCTATGTCTTTGAGGAAAAGTAGAGATGTGAAGGCCTGGGAGGAAAAAAAAACCTGGAAAAATACAGGGGGGGAATGGGGAAATCCCTCTCCTGTGAAATAATTTCTCTCTGGAAATAACTGAACTGCTTTTTAAGACAAGGTTTTGCCCACTCAAAATGTGTAGTAGAAAGATTTTTATGTAAGACAATGTAGAGTTTTAGATCATGTTAATTCCCATAATACTGCAGACATACATATTTTCAACATTCGTAGATTAAATATGACTGATCTTGTCCACAGTTAATATTTTTCCATGTAATTACTTATGAGGTTGCAGCTTTCAAGTATTTGTGTCTGGGCTTGTTTTAATCTTTTGAGTAGCCCTGATGTGAAAAGTAGCCCTGTTTTAGGTAGATGTTTATACTTTGTGGCTGATACACATTTAATGATTGAAGTCTTGGTTCAAAACAAATTCACCTGAAAATTTATTTCAGTATAGCTTACTGCTGGATAAGTGGACTTTGGACCCACAACTTTGGATTCTTATACACATCAAAAATCACTTGATATTAAAGCTACATGTTCAGTACATACTGGGGAAAATAGGTGATAGAATTAATCTTCAAGTTTATTTGCTGCATTCAAACACATCACAGTTAGCCCCTGAGAGAGTCTGGAATGTGGTGGTGTGTTGAAGAACTGTTACATGTAGCAGTGTTACAATGTTATTTTGAGCATTTTTATCAAAATAGTATCTTCTTCATTTGCTGTCTCTTACAGTAACACTGGTCACAGTCAAGAAACATATACAGAGAGATCTGAAACAAAGAGTAAACTAATGTGCACTGTATGCTTAAAGGAGTTTAAAAGTTTACCAGCCCTAAATGGCCACATGAGGTCTCACGGAGGGGTACGGGCATCTCCCATCTTCAAACAGGTTGGAACTTTTTTGATACTTGGCTGTCACCCTTTCCTATTGGAGTTTGCTGCTTGCTTTGCTTTGCTATTAAAAGAGTGTCATAATTCCTGAGCTGGCCTTGCAGTTGTCCAAGTAGTGTCTTTCTCTAGCTTTGTTTCAAGTGTGCTAATTCTCCGTCAGTTGGAGATATGTTGATGTGATATCACAATGACCTAAGAGTTTTGCTTAAGCTTTTGGCTGGCCTTCAGGTGAAAGAGGTTCCTCACTCTGAACACGCTTGTGTAGGCCCTTATTATTTGGTGTTTTTTTTAAAAAAAAAAACCTCTGCTCTAAATCCAGTAAGTACTGTCTGCTTTGACGTGGGAAGATATCTTATTTGTCCTGAGGCATTTTTGCCCAGGATGGAAGTACCTTTTTACGTTATATTTACCACAGCAGAAGAGGTGTTCAGTCTGTCGCAGCAAAAACCACAGAGACTGACATATTTATTGTATCACCGAACAAAGTGGGCTCTAGTTTACAAAAGTTTTTGCCACAGTAAATGTGTTACTCTTTAAAGAACCACAAGACGCTTTGTTGTTTGTGCCACATTTAATATTCTATACGTCAGGGGCCATCTGTGGTTGAGGCTGAAAGCCTTTAATTGTCTGCACAGGAGGAAGGAGAGAAACCATCAGAGCAGCCGCCGCCGCCGCCGCCCTCCGAGGTGGATAGCCTTGTGCCCATCGTCATGCCTGTTTCTGTCCCTGTAAAGCTCCTGTCGCCCGATCCCAGCTGGCAGGCCACTGACAGCAGTGCCACCAATGTCAAAGATAAGCCTGTCTCAGATGATGAGATGCCTGTTCTTGTGAGGATGACTTACTCGCCACCGCGTTCCCCTAGAGCGGCCAGCCCGTGCGCATCTTCTGTGAGTGTTCTCTTGCCACTAACTATGCCAAGGGCACCTAATAAATCCCTTTGCATTTTTAATGTACTTCTTATTAAATGTTTTTCTTTGGAAATGCAGAATCATCCATGTCACACTTCCTAGTCATGCAGAAGCATTGTATTCTTTTTTTTTTTTTAATGCCTGGCTGTTCCTAAGCAGTCACTAAACAAAAACAAAGGGATTTATTGCCTGCCAGTGTCACCCGTTTATTTGTGCTTGTTTGTTTAATTGTTGCTGCTTAAAACCAGTTCATTTTCTCCTTGAGAAATTCGAAATACATTTCCCCCTCTCCACTATTTTCTATCTTAGGTAAATAAGCTTTATCTGCTAATTATTATAAAAACAAAGCACTCTGATAGGTGCTGTGAAATATTTATCTAGCCACTGCAGCCTACTTCCTCGTTTCCCCTACGCGTGAGCCTTGGCCATATTTTAATTATGGAGTCTTAAATCCAAGTGTATCAAGTCTTGGCGAGTGTCCGAGCCCCAACATTATTTTTGCTACACCCAGTTTCTGAGGTTTGTATCCCACGTGGATCTCATTTCTACCTCATGGGCTATCCAGACTGTCAGGGCGGAGAAGAACATGAGCCAAGCAGGCAAAGACAGTCAAATTTTTCATAAGTAAACAATTGGGGAGTAACAGGAAAGTCTGTAGGCAAGTAATAAACCTCGTGATGATAGCCTGTGTTCCTATTTGGATAAAGCAGGGGTCCTAAGCCACTTCTCTGCTTGCATTCCTTTTCGTCAGTTGTGGAGGCAGTGCTCTGCTGTGGATCAGGTTCCTCCAGTGTTCGGCACTTCTGCTCATGCAAGACCAATGCATTTCAGTAAGCTCAGAAGCACCTAACACGGTCCACAGCAGAGGACTGCTTCCACAACTAGATAACAGGGCTAATAACAGAAAAGGGTCTTAGGGTCCAGATGCATGCCAGCAGGTATCATTGATTGATGGACACTGGCTGGTCTGTTTATAGCATGCCCGTCCTACTTTGTGGTGCCAAATAAGTCCCTTTTTTAGGATAAATGCCTGGATGTGTCAAAAATACCTTTCAGGTGTCATCACAATGCAGATGAGCATAGCCATCTGGCAGTGTTGCCCTCTTTCTCACCAAGGGTTGATTCACCCATGTACATTCATCACTTGATGGTTCCAATATCAAGTGATGAGATTGTTCCTTGTGGTGTTATGTTCTAGCCCATTGTGATAATTTTACTCAATTTGGAATGTTTTGTTTCTTTGTTAAGATACAAGGGTAGGAATGCTGTTGTTGGAAACAGCCCTGACTGCATTTCCTGAAAGGGTACACAAATTACTATCTGTGATATGCTCTTCTTGTTGCTAGGGAGTGGAGGTTTCAACCTTCACCCAGCTTTGAGTTTTACACTGAGGTGATCCTTAAAAATCCACTGTTATCCAGACTAATCTACCTCATTTGGTTGTTGTGAAAGTAACTATGAAAATACTGTTTTTACCCCTGCAAAAAAAAAAAAAAAAAGGTGGCCAGGGGGAAGGGGCGCTACAGAAAAGATACCCAAAATTATTGGATCTTCTTTTCCGAAATCAAGGCTGTAGCTGTATTTCAGAGGCTTGTTAGCTAGTATGGGTGGGGCTGGGGTATGCTGTTGTAACAGGCATGTAATCCAGCACATTATCGCTAAAATTGCTTCAATGCTGTAATCTTCCATTCAGGATCCCAGTAGGAAAAACCACCAAAACATTACCAATTCTGAAGAGACCTTCAAGCCTTCACAAGACAAGAGAAAATACCGCCATAGACCCGAGCCACTCTTCATCCCACCTCCTTCCTTCAACTTCAGTGTCATGCATTCAGGCGCTACCCTATACCAAAGCCAGCTTCGCTCTCCTCGCATCCTAGGTGACCATCTTGATAGGACTCATGAGCTCCCACCGTATACCCCCCCTCCTATGCTCAGTCCAGTACGTCAAGGATCTGGTCTCTTCAGCAATGTTATCACCTCTCATGGGGCATCTCACCCCCAGCTACCACTCACTCCTCTGACACCCACTCCCCGTGTGCTTCTCTGCCGATCTAGTAAGTATTCTGTGTTCTCTTATAAGCATGGTAGATTGTATAAACATATTTTTGACACCATGATCTGTTGCCTCCCTTCCGTACTGTGCAGTGTCATTTTGAATTGCTTATGGAACATTTAGCTCTCTGGTCTCTGCTTCTCACACTGTTTTTGTATTAGTGTTTGATTAGAACAGAGGTGTCAAACTCACTTGTTAGGAGGGCCGGATCTGACATAAATGGGACTGTGTCGGGCCAGGCCATGTGTGCCATAAAATGTAACATGATGTACTGGAGATATAAACTTTATAAAGATTATTTCAGATGCCAAATGGCAATAGCAAGTTTAATTAAGTGTGATATGCAGAGGGGTAGTAGGCATGGCGATATCAGCATTGGTAATGAGACAAGAAACCTAGGCCTCAGTTTGGTCCAGGAGGATACAGTCCAGGAGGATGCAAAGAATAAATGGACATAAGTCTGACATTAGAAACCACAACATTCAAAAACCAGTTGGGGAATATTTTGGTATTTTTGCATTTGTGTGTATGTGCCCGTGCCTGGAAGTCATGGCAACCTCTGCCGACTCCTCCTGGGGCATGGAGGACATTCAGAGAAGTGGCTTGATAGCCTGCCTCTGGCCTCCTGGCCCTGGTATTCTCTGGAGGTCTCCCATCCAAATACTTGCCAGGGTTGGCCATGCTTATCTTCTGAGATCTGATGAGATTAGACTTTCCTGAGCTATCCAGGTCGGGGCGCCAGTGGGGGAACATTTTAACCTTTCAGGACGTTCATTTGCTGACCTTATAGTAGCAGTTCACTTACAAAGGAATTTCAAAGGGAGATCAGAAAGACAGACTGCTGAATTGCAACTGATAACGAAGCTCAAGACCTTCTACCCTCCTGGACTGAATTGAGACCTAGGTTTCTTTTCTCATTACCAACGCCTGGTATTGTCATTTGCATCTGAAATCACTCCACTCTCCAAGATATACGGACCGATGGACTCACATTCTAGCTGTATCTGAAGAAGTGAGCAGTGACTCATGGAAGCTCATGCCCTGCCACAAATTTTGTTAGTCTTTAAGGTGTTACTGGACTCTTGTTCCTTTCCGCTAATAAAGATTACAAGCTGTGCTGTTTTCTTTCTTTCTTTCTCTTTCTTTCTTTCTTTCTTTCTTTCTTTCTTTCTTTCTTTCTTTCTTTCTTTCTTTCTTTCTTTCTTTCTTTCTTTCTTTCTTTCTTTCTTTCTTTCTTTCTCTCATCTGTTAGAACTGGAAAGTGGGATCTCTCCAAGTGAAATGATGTTTTGATTTCAGACTGGACAAAATCCACTCAGTGCTAGTGATGATAATGAAAGAGTTAAGAGAGCAAAGGTGTGGGAGGTTAATGTGAAGAAAAGCAGCCAGTGAGGCTTCCGGTCTGGCTCCCGCGTATGGCGGACGCTTCCTCGGGTCGCTCCCGAGGGCGCCTCGCCCGCCCGCGGTGGAGGAGGGAATCCGCGCGAGCGGAGACCCGAACGAGCCCCTCAGAAGAGAGGAGCTCGGATCCGGGGCGCTTTAGGGCGCACTAGGGGGGAGTCGCTCTTTCGGCCGAGAGGTCGGAGAGCGAGGCTCCCGCCATGCCCTGCCCCAATGGACCTTGCTGCGTGAGCGACCCCGAACGGGGTTTAGCGGAGCCACCAGACGTCACCGAGTGATAAAGCGACCATCCGCAAAAGTGGAAAAGAAAAAGAAAAGATCGGCTTAACTGTGAGTTGTCAAAATGCAGAGAAAAAGAACTGAAAATTGTTTCCCCCCCCTCCCAGCGAAAAAGGCGAAGAGGTTAATCCTCCATCTATACAAGCGAAAAAGAAAAGGAGGGGGGGGGATGAATTGAGCGGACAGTGATGTTTTCCTTTGATGTATTTGAAAGCGAGAAACTTGTCTCTCTGGAGCACATTTTAAGAACTTTCTAAAAGTAAACAAAAAAGAAAAGATGTCGGAGCTGGGCAAAAGCGAGCGGAGAAGGAGGGAGGGACTTCCGTCTGGGCGTTTGTTTGTGTGCAAGAGCCGGCTGTTGAATGTTTGGACTGTTTATGGCTGTGAATCCGACGGGAGTTTTGCAAAAAAGATAAGTTGGAATTGTGACAGCGAGAAGTGCCTGATAAGCGCTTATAAGTCAACAATTGCGAGGAGGACCCATAGAGAGTCTGGGAGCGAATATAAAAGCGAAAATGAAATTGATACCATTCTCGAAAATGGGGACCTCCGGGGCATGAAAGGAAGAGGATTTATAGTACATGAACTGAGCGTATTAACAACAACCCGAAGGAGGATCTAACAAGCCGGAAGGAGAAGACAACAGAGACAACAGAGGAAGCTCCTCCACGTCAGCGATAGTAAAAGCACCCAGCACGCAAAGAAGCGGTTCTGGATGTTCACAGAAGAGACCCTTTTTATTAACAGAATCTCAAAGGAACATTACTAACATACTAACAGAGAATACATGTAACAGGACTAAGAAAAGAAGTTTGGCAACACACAGAAGAAGCCCAAGAAGATTAATTGGACATTACTAACAGTTTAATTTACCAGTTTATATATCACTCAGCTTTTTCTTTCTCCCACTGTCTACCCCTCCCTTTTTTTCTTTTAAGCGAAATACCTCCCCTTTTTAGGGGAGCCAATAAAACCTTTATTAAAAAAAAAAAGAAAAGCAGCCAGTGAGGTGGGAGGGGAGAGAGGGAGATGTGTTGGAAACATAAATGTATTTTTAAATACTTAGCTATCTACTTCCAGTCATTGAACATTAAACAATGGAATCCAATCCAAGTGTTGTAATTCCTAAACAGGGTATTTTTGAAAAAAACTAAAATCCAAGATTGGCACAGAGAAATCTAATCCGTCTTTGTTCTCTTGTGCACGAGCGCTCTCCCTTGGTCTTTCCCTCTCCCTCCCTTCCTCCCCAAAGGGGGGGGGGACTTCAGCCAATGGAGCAAAGGCTTGGCTTTGTATCTCTCTCTGTGTGATTGAGGGAGATGGGCAAAAGATGCAGCAGCCCCAGGGGAGGAAGCAGGAGAGAGCCCGTTGCTGGCAGGCCAGATAGAAGCCCCACAGGGGCTGGTTCTAGCCCACTAGCTGTATGTTTGACATCCCTGGTTTAGAAGGCAGACAGCTTCTCAGCTTTAAAGCCCTTTATGACCTGGGGCCCACACTCCTGAAAGATTGCTTTTTCCTTCATAAGCCTGTATGGCAATGTCATTCTTTCCAGCACTGTGTACCCAACAGTCTAGGCTCAAGTATTTTCAGTGGCTACTCTGTGTATCTGTAACAGCCTCCTGAATGAGGTTGGCAGGGTGGGGGCTTCTACTCTCCTGGTTTTCTGGTGAGGCTGCAAAACAGAGTTATTCCAGATAGCTTTCGGGGCTGCCGGAGCAAGGGGGGGGGGATACCTTCCTTTGGGCATAGAGCAGGGGTCACTGGGGGAGTGGGGGGGAGGTAGTTGTGAATTTCCTGCATTGTGCAGGGGGTTGGACTAGATGGCCCTTGAGGTCCCTTCCAGCTCTAGGTTTCTATATGATGTTTTCAGATTTTTTTTCCACTGCCCATGCCTTGTTTTTTAATGTATGTTTTATCACATGGTTTTTATGTTGTTGTTACTGGCCTTGGTCCTGTGATGCTCAGGAGAAAGGCAGGCATATAAATATTTTAAATAATAAATAAATAGTTCACCTTCAGTTGTCTCTTAGAATCCTTAAACGTTTCCCTTTTAAACAGAACAAGTGTAAGAAATAATTATTTTCTAATAATTAGGGGAAAAGACCTTTTGTTGTTTCTTATCGTGGGAACTCTGGTGACACACCTATGAATTCCAGCCCCACTTACCCCTTCCATACTCTGACAAATGTCACTTGTCAGACCAAGGGGCTGTGGAGGGGTGGGGAGGGAAATAATGAAGACGTGCAAGATTCCACTGAAAGGGGTAAGTGCTCATTGTCCAGTTAGCAGAACTTTTCTTTAATACGTAATGGATTGAGCTGAACTGGGAGATGTCACTCTTCAAACCTGCTCAGCATTTTTGCACAAGCACAAAGTGTACTTGCCTTGGGGCCTTGAATGAGCTTTTAAAAAATGTAAATAGAAATATTCTTAAAAGAATTCTCAGGCACCAAGGCCATGCTAGGAATTGTTTCTCCAAAGCATGGGCTTGGATCCTGGCAAAATTTCCATCAGCAGAGTGTGGCTTCTCTGCCTTCCCCCCCTCCTGCTACAACCTACTACTCCTGTTCTTGGGGGAATGGGGTATTGGAGGCCTGATGTGTGAAGGGGAAATGGGTGCCTGTAGAAGCGATTGGCGGGATGTATACACTCTGCCTTATACTGATTCAGACCTTTGGTCCATCAGATGCATCAAATGCTGTGATTTACTCTGGCTGTGACTCACTAGTCTGCCACGCTGTTTAATACAGAACAGCGGAGTAGTCTCTGCAGTTATCCAGATAAACCGTCAACAGATCGTAATGCCCATGTCTTACTACGTGTGTGTGTGTGTAAAGTGCTGTCAAGTTGCAGCCAACATATGGCAACCTCAGCAAGGGGTTTTCAAAGCAGATGAGAAGTAGAGATGGTTTGCCATTGTCTTCCTCTGCAGCCTTTTTTGAAGGTCTCCCATCCAAGTACTAACCAGGGCTGACACTGCTCAGATTCCGAGATCTGATGAGATGGGGGCCATACCATGCCATTGCCTCTCCCCTTACTACATAGACAACCAGTATATTTGCAAAGAGGTAAAAGATGAAAATACCATGAAATCCTGGGCATTGTGTATACAGGCAAACGTCCACCATTAAAAACAGCAACAGAGCATCCTCATGCATCTTAAAATTCCAGCTCTCTCTGGCATCTTAAGCCATGGTCTTTCCCAGACTTACTCTCTGAGATCATTTTAAATTGAGATGCCAGAAATTGGCCACATGCAAAGCATGAATTTGACCACTTATCGTCCGTTCCCCTATTTGCCCATATTTTTTCTGTAAGGGGATACAAGGAAGAAGTGGAAAGTGAAGAAAAATGTGCTAATGAAGGGAACATCTACTTAAATGTTACTTTCCCCCCCTTTCAGATAGTGTTGATGGAAGCAATGTCCCTGTGACCCCAGGGCCAGGAGAACAGACCATTGATGTAGAACCGTAAGGATTATCATCTCGTTTAATATACATATTGCTCAGTATGCAGTGTAGTCCAGCTGACCCTTCTTTATTTACTCCTAGAATGTGGTTTTATAGGCATTAACAGTGGCTAGGGTACAGACATTCCTCTGCATGTGTATCCATTCAACACTCCTGTGTGTGCGTCAGAACTTCCTTGAGTATATATTCCAGCTTTATTTGTTTGTGCTGCTTTGGAAGCTGCTCCTGACAGGCTTTGGGTTTCAGTAAGAGGCGTCATGGCAGCACGATGCTTTAATAGTGCATCTGCATCTGAAGTGCCATGGTTCATATGGAAGGTTGGGAGACCAGTATGAAATAATTCTGTGGCGAACTGTGGAGAGAACCCTTTGCATTCCAAAAGCAATGAAGCCATTCCTAGCTTCAGTGACCGCTTTAAGAGCTTTACCTCTGTTTTGTGACACAATGCAGTCAAAAGTTCAGAGTTCTCAGTGGTGCTTCTTAAATCGTGTGCACTCTGGATACCACATTTAGGGTGCTCAAATAATTATTAAAATCCTGGTTCTCAAGGGTACGATTCCTTTTTGTTTGTTTATAGCACTCTAATGGAATAGTGTTCAACTGAACTAAGAATTCATTACTGAAGTGGCAATCCTGAGGATACTTTCCTGGGACTAAGCCCCACTGAACAACATGAGACTTACTTGTGAATAGAACTGCTTAGAATTGCACCCTTATTTTCACATGACTATGAAAGAACAAACTGCAGATGGGTGTGTCATCCTTCAGGGACAAGAATGCAAGCCACAATTGCTGCAATGAGCATAACTGGCGTGTGGGTTCATAGGAGGAATCAGACTACCCAAATCCGAGCTCTCTACCACCTCCCGTTTAGGTGCTGAGTGATTCTAAAACACCTAAGAAATATGGAGGAGCTTCACCTAGTAACTATAGTAACTATCCAGCAGCAGTGAATAATTTCAGGGTCAAGGCATTTTGCCTCACTTCTCAGTATTAGGGGCAGGGCTCACCCCTTGGAACAATTGAAGTAGAATATTGAGTGGATTTTTGTGTCTAGCGGTGCCATCCTAAGCAGAGTTACATCCTTCTGGGCATGCTGAAATCCATGAATTTAGAAGGGTGTAACTCTTCTTAGGAATGCTCAGTGTATTTGCATGCACTACAAAGAATAAACTCCCAAGTTCCTAATGACATCTCTTCTACCTATTTATATTTTTATACACTCAAGGGTAAGGACACATCTGAAAACCAACTTCCTGTACTGTCAGTTGGGCGTTTTAGAGTTCAACTGAGAGAACAGAAAGTGCTCTGGGAAAGTTAGACATCTCTTTCCCGGAACACCCCTGTATTCGCAGTGGGGAGCAAGAACAGCGTGTGGGCTAAGTTGTTTTCTTCACCACATTAAGTCTGTTTACTAATAACAAAACAGCTTATTTTAAAGTACCAGCAGACACTCCATTTTGAGAAGCGTCTAGCTTTTCCTTCTTCTCCTCTCTGCCTTCTGTCTCCTCCCCTTTCTTTAGGTGTACAAGTAGTTGTCCCTTACCAGACTTCTTAAAAACTCTTTCTCCTGTCAGATTGCTCCACCTGCTTTGGGCTTGCACGCATCCTTTCCTGCTGTATCTTTCTTTGTTCTCAGTCGTATCAACATTGGATCAAGATTCCAGGCTAATATCCCTGAACTTAAAGACATAACCTCAGTGGGGAAAGAGGATCACAAAGCAACTTTAGTGTGGAAACCATGGCCAGAACTGGAAGACGACACTTTCCAACAAAGAGGTATTGTGTTTTGTCTTTGGAATGGAGTTTTTAATCTTTAAATGATAAATGCCTGCCTCCTCCATTCTTGGGTAGTTATTTGTATCTAAATGTACCACAATGAATGGTGCATTGTGCACAGTCATCTGGTGTACCATCCAGGTTATTGTTCCTCTTCTGCTTTATAGCATGAAAGTTGAATAAATTCTATCTCTGTAGTCTCATATCCCATAATAACCTTTATTCTAATGATTATTGCTGCCACTCATGC